TAAAATGTTTTGGCCCTTTAAGCGAAAAATTATGAGCCCAATAAACAGATATCTTATCAGCCGAAACTATTTAAACCGAAGAAAACAAAAGTGGAAAAAACCAAAGCAATCAGCGACAGAAAAAAAACATGAGTTGTTTTGAAAGCAACAACAAAAATTCGAATGAAACGGGGATTCAGAATGCAGACATGCTCAAAAACCTGTTTCCAGGCAATTGATCAGAACATACTGGCCAACTGATTTTGTTAAACTAGTTGTTAACTCGAAAAAAAGTCTATATACCGATTTGATAACGTAAATTTTTTTCGAGTTTCGAAGAAAACAATTCAGGTTAAAGCTTTTTGAATTACAATAATTGTTAGTGATTGGCGCTTTTTTCTTAAAAATAAACCTTTCTCTGAGAAAAAACTGGATCAGCTTGCCCTGAAAATGCCTAAAAGCGCCATTATACTCGAAATTTTAGCAAAACTCGAACATGTTAAAAGAAAACCGACTGTGAGGACAAAATTAATTTTATGTACACGATTTTACAGCGTATTTAATTATTTACACGGCATTCAGCGTCATTTCTAACAGCAAACAGCTCGATTGAATTCATGACATGAATGAGATTATAGTAGACATCTACATTATAACAGGCAGTTATGCATAACTGAGCAACTCAATTTGAGAAAAAACTTAGGTGCAACCCCTGTTACCGCGCGTTTTTATGCAGTTACAAATTTCATGCTCAGTTATCAGATTTTAATTCTAATTCACCGCAAGTCAAAATGCTACTGGACTAGAAAAGGCGTGATTCAAGCTTTTGAAGCATTAACTGGCTTTGCTGTAGATTTACCTCAGATTGTTTGTAATGAAACTTAATTTTTCCATATAAACACCGCCTATTCTATGCCAAAGCAAATTGACGAGATGATTAAACAAAACATCGAACACTAGTCTACATGAAGAAATCTTCGGAGCTGAAGGGGTCAACTTGTCGCTCGCTGTATTTCTTCTTCAGGTCTTCCGGCAGCAGATCCAGGTCTGAGGAGTCCTTGAACACTCCCTTCGGCAGGTATCCCAGCAGCTTCTCTGCGTGCTCCCGGATCAGTTTCCGTCTCTCCTCTTCGATAATCTGCCTTCGGAACTTCTCCAGCTGTTCCGCTTGTTTGGCCTGGTCCAAATCTGCCTGCCGCTCTGCAATCTGCATTTTTCTTCTATTTTCGATCAGCTCTTCGATCGCACGTTTGTGTTCCAGTTGCTTCATTCTTCGTTTCTGGGCATTCATCTGTTCAATTTTGTCGTCATTCGCGAACTTTTCCAACATTTTCCTTCTGAACTCTTCCTCCTCTGCCAACTCAGCTTCTTTCTGCAGTTCCTTCAACTGTTGCTGTTGCGCGTATGATTTCTGCAGCGACACCATGTCTCTCAGTCGTTTTTCGATCACATTTCGCTCCTTCATTCTTTCGTTCTCCTCTTGCTCTTCCATCAGCAGCTCCGTTCGGATCCTTTCCAGTTCATCTCTGTCCGCGACGTCTTGCGCCAGTTTGCTGCTTAGTTCCTCGACCAATTTCTGCTTGATTGCCTCCCGACTTCTTGCGTCTGCCATTCTGTCTTCCTCTCTTCTCTGCTGCATCTTGGCGAATTCCAAAATCTTGCGGTTTTCTTCCTCTAGTGCCGCTTTTTCCGCTACTTGCCACTCTTGTCGCTTTTTCATAAACTCTGCAATGTACCTACAATGCAAAAAAATTATCCATTTTCTTTATGCCAATTTCGTTTACTTTCCTGTTAAAAACAAGCTTTTTTGCGAATCAAAGGAAAAATTAATTCCGCGATTCAACCTCAAAAGTTATTGCATTATCTATCAAAAAGAAAATTCATGCTGTGAAAAAAATTATTCCCAGAATCAAACACTGGAGCGGCTTCAAATAGACACAAAAATAGCATGGTGCGATTAAAGAACTATACAAACGCATAAAAAGTTGGTGAATTAGATATGATCGATTAAAAATGAAAAAAAAATTGCATAATAATTTTAAAATTTTGCTAGAAAACCTTTATTGCCAAGGAAGCGCTAAGAGAAACTTCCAAAACTAGTTTTCCTTAAATTAAAATTTTTTAGCCTAAAACCTAAATGTTAAATTTTCATATTCCGCTGATTATTTGTGGTATTGATTTTGCGTGAAAAACAAATAAGACAAACCCGAAAAAAATTCTTCTCCATTTAATAAGAAAATTGGGGAAGCCTATATCAAAAATCATTCCATATTGATAGTATGAGAGCGAGTAGCTGTGCGTACCTTTGCGTCTGCTTCTGAGTCTCCATCTTGATCTCCTGTTCCCTCTGGTCCTCCTCGTAGATCTTCCTCACTATCTCGTCTATCATCAGCTTGTCCTTCAGGAACTCCTCGTACGCTTCCTGCTTCCTATTTTCCTACAAACAAACACACGCATTTGTAACACGTCTCCAAGGACAAATAGTTGATATCACTGATCCACATATCAATTTTGGGAACAAATCATGAAAGTTTTGAAATCACCTATGTAAAACAGACAAAACTGAAGTAGAGATCCATCAGCTAAAAGATCTTTTAAAATCGTTAATTAACAAAAAATTTTGTTAATCTTTCTACAATTATTTATTCACGACACAACTTCGTTCAATTATTTTACGTGTGAAGCAATAAGTCAACGTGTAATATAAAATATAAATTGAGCTAGGCAATTGAATTAAAGCCAAGCTGGTGATGGCGATGAAGGAAGGATAGGATTGCACTGACCTGTTCGACTAGTTGGCTCTCCAGCTGGGTCTGGTAGATCTCCTTCTCCTTCGCCTTCTGCATCTCTATCAGTCGCTGCTCCTCCTCCGCCAGTTCGTGCTCCCTCTTCATCTCCATCGCTATCTCAGCCTCCCTTGCCTTCTGATCGTACCTGATAAAAACAAACACACTGTGTTACAAGATGCATTTCATTACAAGCCAGCAGCTTGTGTGCATTTAGGGTGGTGACATTAAAATATAACCTGCCCCCAGGCTTAAAAACAGAGCTAAGCTGATAAATGAAGACTGAATCTTTCCTTCAATAATTACAAGAAAGAAACTAAAACTGTAATACAGGAAGTTATTTCGATTTCTCTCACCTAATAGCCTCCTTCTCCATAATTTGTGCTGCTCTCTCTTTGGCCACGTAACCCTCCTTCAGCTTCGCCTCCAGCTCCCTCAACTCTATGCTGCTCTCCCGCACCTGTTGTCGCATCTTCTCCTCACTCATTTGGGCCAACTTGGCTCTGGCCAGTTCTGTAGCCAGTGCTTCCTCTCGCTGGATCTCCAGTTTACGCTCTGCCTCCCTAAAAACAGATTTATTCTGCATGTAAAAAATTTCGAAAAGATTAAAAACACCGTATCTTGTAGAACATTTGTACGACGCACGCAACTTTTTCGTCAATTAATGATCAAAAACTCCGCATTCTTTAAAGGCCGTCAAAAAACGGTTCGGTCAAACTTTTCAAAAATGTCATAAGATGCCATTTTGTCTTCAAACGTTCGCCTGCCGTAAAATAGCAAAATAGAATCTTTTTACCATTTTAGCCCGAACTTTTTTAAATAACACGATCTGAACCGGCTGTTTAGTGCATAGTACCTGTGGAACTTGTCATATATGGCCTGTTCCATGAGCTGTTCCTGCCTCTGAGCCTCAATCTGTCTGATCTGTCTCTTGGCCTCCACTCTGTCATCCTGAGCCCCCTGTGCCTCCACCAACCTCATCTTCCGCAACTCCTTCTCCAACTCATTGTTCGCGTACTCCTACCCAACAAAACACAACACACGGGTTAAAATCATTTCAGTGCTTAGTAAACAAAAGGTGAAATGTCTAACGTCTCTTCAACAGCAATTAATGAAAAAGGATCTGCCAATTTGGATTCGAACTGAATCACAGCTAAGATAAAAATTTTTAACTAGGGGGATGCATTCTTAAAAAAACTGATTCTAATTTTAAATTTAAAATTTTTCCCAATTGTTCAAATCATTCTTAATTTTTTCAGTTTAACAAAAGCTATCAAACAACAGTTAAAATGAATTAATATTTCCATCAGCTGTAAAGCTTTTTAATCAAGCGGGAGTCATGAGAAAGGCGAATGTTAAGTTGCCACTGCCTCCAACTCCTAGTCAATGAGTTGATGCAACGAAACCAACTTTGGGCGTTACTTGTTTTTGAGGCTAAGCAAAACTTCTCTACCCAGAAGTAAACACAGAACTGAATGGGTCTACCAAAACACCACTTCAATCGAGGGGTCAACAGGTGCACAGGTGATCATATTAATCATGTGGTCTGCCAAAGGGGTCTAAGGTTATTCGTCACTAAGAACTGGGAGCTCGTGAGTAAGTCTTTTTCTTCAAATCACTCCTAAAATTTACGCTGAATAACTGCGCTAAAATGGTATTTTACCTGTTCTCTAGCTTGTGTGAGGCGCTGCGCCTCTGACTGGTGAGTTCTCCTCAAAGAAGCCATTTTTATTCTGATTCTAAACTGCTAAAATGAGCGACCTAGAAACACAAATATGGTACAAGCAAATGCTATCTGAAAAGAAACATTATCGATTACAAACACCGTCTGCAAAAACTGACACTTACAAAAAATATGTATTTTCATTAAGAAAATCATTTTAAATCCGCGAATTTTTTTTACATCTGTGCATAATTTCAATTCGCTGAAATTCTTTTACAGAAACAGAACATTATCGCAAAAGAAAGCTCAAATTACGTCACGTGCTCCGGAAATGTCAGTAAATCCTGCTGTTTTTAATGTTGTTAAACCAAATTGTGCACCAAATTTTCACAAAAGAATACTTTTGATGTTGTTAAATTATCACTGGCCTATTACTTCACACTCTTTGTAATCAAACATTTAGTCCAATTTGTTTGTTTTTTCACTTCTATTTCAAAAAAATATGACCAACAGGAATTTGGAAAAAAAGCCAATGAAAAATTAAAAAAAAATTATTTTAAAATTATTTTCAAAGAAAAGATATATGTCTCTAAGCTCTGTGATTTTCAAGAATCTTTTACGATCAAAGCTTTTTGTTAAAACTAACCCAATTGGAGAAAACTGGATTTAACTTGTGAAAAAGCACCAGTTTTGCGTTTCTGTTTTACTATTGATTGATGAAATCACTAACTTAATTTTGTCTTTGAATTAAAATAAACGAGTTAATGTACAGGTTCTAGTAAATTAGTAACATCATTATATCTTCATCACTTTCACAATTTTATTCACGTGAGCAGAAACTTGTTGAGCTTCTTGGAGCAATCATTCACTTTTGGAGATGAGCTCAAACTTGCCATAACATTCTCGACCAAGTGAGTTAAGTTGCTTCCTTTGCAGGCCTCTTTCAGAACTTCACAATTGTAACCAATGGTTCCTATAGCAACGAGACATCTGAAACAGGTTTCTTCTTCCAGTACCTCACGAGATAACATCTGACAAAATGCTGGAACTAGGTATAAGCAACTCATTTCAGCCGATTCATGATACGCCAGGACAGATATATTCAGCATCAATGTGGCTAAACCCAGACATACAGGGTTAATGGTACTAGTCGAAAACGATTCCACAATTTGAGACAGCTCGGGACAATTTTTCAACATATTCTGACCACTTTTTGTTCCAGATAAATTGGCCAAAAACCGGATCGCCATTGTTTGTGAAGGCTTCGATGCCGATTTCCGCAGCTCAAGTATCCGCTGCAAAACTGCATTTATTTTAGGCTCAATCATTTTGCAAAATTTTCCAGACGCGGCAAAATGTATACAAATATCAAAGAGTGGGAAAATGTATTCCAATTCCCATGTTAGAAGGCATGACATGATATCAGAGATAGCCGGATCCACACTACTTTCATTTGCATTGACAGAAGTTATTATCTGCAAACTTTCATCAGATAATTTAAACGCTGTTTTTCCGTTGTATTCTGTAATTTTTTCAGCATCTTTTGCAAAGTTGGCTTTAAATAGCACTAGGAAGTCTTTCAGCGGAAAGTATGGATTTGCGTCTGTCGAATAGGAGGGCGTTTCATCCATGGCCGAGTGGCCTGTGTATGGGTCGAAGTTTCCCATGTTTGACCCTGGTCTGAACCCAGGCTGACTCTGGTCCTGATTTGAGGGCGTATTTGGCGGGATTGAAGTGGAAGATGCCATGTTAGGATTGGGTGTTGAATTTGCAAACTGAGCGTCTGGGTCGCCAGTGAAGGGATCCACGTTTCCCATCGATTTCCCCAACTGCACTCCTGAAAAAATTCCACTTTCAAAAAAGGTTAAACATAGCCAACAGGCGGTTAAAACATAGCCAACAGCCAGTTGAAACATAGCCAACAGCCAGTTAAAACATAGCCAACAGTCAATTGGAAGTACCCATTAGAACGAAAATATTAGAAAAAAAAAATTCCAAAATTCAAAGAAAAAATATAGTCTGAATAATTTCAAGAACAATTTATGATTGATAATTTTTTGATAAAATTAACCCAAGTTGAAAAAATTGGATCAAAAGATAAATTTGCTATTCCGCTGTGGAATTTGAAGTTGAAATTGTTAGCCCGATTTGAAAGTGCTACAAACCGACTAATTTACTCCGACTTTCAATGCCCGTCATGCAAGGACTATGCCCATTGCATGAACACAGCAATGTGAAGACAACTGAAGTCAATCTATTGAAAATAAACAAAATGACTTTTAGAAAGAAAAACTTAAAAACTGAAATACGATTCTAGAAACGCAACTAAATAACAAAAAATTGATGCTTGAGATGTTAGCGTACCACACTTCTTAGTTTACAAGACGACTAAGGGAACGATCCCATTACGTAAAAGACCCCTTTGCTCTACGGTTTACAACATTCCTCCCCTCCCAGGAAGTAAATTTTAGCAATCGCAAGTAACAAAAAGGCTCGGGTTCTCTTGGTGCTTGGTTAAAACTTGAAATTTTTTCCTCTGTACAAACTTTTTTACTACTCTAATGTGGAGGTTATTTTATTCTGCATCCATATGAGGTATCGGAAAAACTTGTACACATAATTATCTCTACGATTTTTTGTTTTAAATATCTTTGAATTCAAATAAAATCTACTTATTTACCTTCTCTTCTCGCTCTCTGGGTTTAAGGTTTAGGGTATAGCCTCAAAAGAAGACACCAAGCCAACTTACCAACCGAAATCACAAGAAAAGCAAGCCCTGGTCAACGCGATTTCTCTCTGAAACGCCTGAAAAAAAGCCATTCAGCGAAATGAAAAAGCAAAAAAGGACGACGAAACGGACATTAACATCAATGAATTAGAGCAGACGCGACAGCCTTACTGCAGCAATTGAAGCGGATGACAATGTATCTGCTTGCCCATCCCAAGGAAGATGCAACGAGCGGCAACATCATTGCCGCCTTCACATGCATTGAAGATCAACTGAACAAGTTTTGACAGCTAAATGCCTAGCCGCGCCGACGATTACTTGAGCAAATAGAGCGCCCTCATCTGTAATCTGTAGCAATTATCTTCCGCACCAACCGCAGCTTTCATGACAACATTTTTCATTCCAGCGTCAACTATTGCGCTAGTAGCAACCTCTACATCAACAACAGCCATCAACTTTGCACAGAAACATCATCCAGCAGATGGAACTTCTTTTCAAAAGACAACAATCAATCCACAGAACAGTTTCTAATCCAAGCAACATTGATGACGCAATACGCATATCAACCAAAAATGCTTCACCAACAGATCATCAATTTCAATAGCCTGAATCAGCAACGACTGTCAGTCGGTTACCAAAGGTCAAAACGGAAAATACGATAATAACCAAAATGGAGCCAGTGGTTTAGGCTCTTCCAGGCTACAGTCCACAATCAAATGATTTCTGAAGCCGAAAAATTGACACCTCTAGACATTGACCATAGGAAAAGCAAGTCAATTAATACGCCAGCAACAAGTCACGTTATCATCGTAACTCGATTGAACCTAAACGAAAAAACAATGAAAATCAACCACGTCGGAACAATAACCGACCTCCAGCCAAAAACAAAGGATTTCAACAGAAAAGCCACAATAATTACTTATTCTCGAACCAGGACCACCGCTCTCCAGTTCAAGCAGCAGTCAACTGAATCAAAACGAAAAACCATCCCATCGAAGAGCCTTTGCCTCAATTTCTTGGGTAACATATGTTAGGAGACTGCCCCTTCAAACGAACATGCAACCGACATCACAGCAGCCTCCATGAGGAAAAATCGATTACCAGCGGCTCGCATCTCAGAAGACAACTTCTCCATAATTAAAGCTTTCACCACAGATGCATAACTCCATTAAACAACAGCAGCAGCGATTTACGAACTCTTTCCTACTCCACGAGCCAGTTACGCTGAGACATGGAATAAACTATAACAGCACTTATGCCCTCCTAGACAACGATAGCAACGACAGCTGCATTTTCCAATCAACAGCCGATTACCAACAACTAGAAGACAGCCAATCTACAGAAGAATTATTCATCGACATCTTCAGGATATCACTTCTTCGCAAGCTTGCGATCATCTTCGCGACATCACATTTCCCGAAACAATCACAAGTCAAATCTTCTTGGAAGCACACAAAATGGAGCTACGATAACTTGAGTTGTCAAGAACATGACACCGCCCATCAAGCAAGTGGCATCTTGGACGCATTGGGTCTCTTGGGACGCATTGAGTCTCGCCATCATATGACGGATCAAGTTAGACAATACAACGTACGAATTCGACGTGGTATTATGATAACTTCCGCAAAACGACTTGCCCTTTTTGCCCACTTTTTTTTGCTTCACTCGACAGCGCCGACTTTTAAACTACCCTTATGAATAGCACTCCAGCCGCAACAGTCGAATAGAAGATTATGGACTCAGCCGAATCAACGAAACAAAGAAAAATTGTCGACACTTGAACGACCATTAATCTATCAGTCGAGATCGAACGCTTTAAAAAATAGAATAACTCTGACCTTCTCATCAGTTGCTTTCCAGTATCATATGCGACATGACCCACAGATTTATCTCTGCTATTCACCTCTGCAACAGAGAACAAGAATTGACCTTCATCAATCTTTGCCGGGAGAGCACCAATCAAAAAGTGTCAATTTAAGTAGTGATCTTTTCTTCGACTAGATTACAACCACATTAGAAAGGACTGCAACACTTACTACAACAAGGATTAATTGAACAGCGACCGATTGACAAACCAACCAGCAAACAAGACAACGACCTACAATATGAATCAACTCTTCGACGACGACAGCAGCAGCAGCAGCAGGACACTCATGGATCGTACGACGGACCCAACCTGCCCGCTATGCCGAGAAAGTCCTCAAACAGTAGAACACTGGATAGTTGAATGTGCAGGGACCATAGCAGCACGACAAGACGTTTTCGGAACGACCAACGCGGGGCTAAACATCCTCACCTCTGACCCAAAGGGTGCCGTAGAGCTGGCAAGAAGACCTTATAGGGCCTCCTTGGCTCCCACAATAGAAGAAGACAGCATAAGTGACCTTAGCTTTACCAGGATTTTACAACGCCCTAGCCACCTTAGCTCTACTATGATTTTAAGACTTGGTTTAGGAACCCCGAAATTTTGTATTGAACTCTGCGATTGCAAAATAAGGTCGGCTGTTAGCCAGATTTGGACAGTGCTACATATCGACTAGTTTACTGTGACTTTCAAGCGCGACATGCAATGACTATGCCCAGTGCATGAACACAGCAATTTGAAGACAACTGAAGTCAAGTTAAAGAAAATAGACAAAAGAAAAAATGAAAACTGAAATCCGATTCTAGAAACGCAACTAAATAATAGGAAACTGATGTTTGAAATAAAACCGTACCACTTCTTAGTTTACTAAAATCCACTTTTGAAGTTCGTTTTTTTTCGCGGCATCTACGCTTTCGCAATTGCAGAGCGTAACTTGCCCTCGTCACGAGCTATATAAGTGTAATCACTGTGCTCATTGACACTTGAAAATTAAACCCAATAAAATGTAAACACTCAGACAATATTTCCACATATATTTCGGTTAACAGTTCCACCTTTTCCCCACCATAATGATTTAAAACTAGCCTTTTGTGTTATTGATGATGAAATTTGCAACCTGGTCCAAAAATTGAGGATCCAATTCATTGTCCAAAATAAACTGCCTGGCTACGTGCCAGGGATCTTGGGTGACATTGTATGGCAACTTCAGAGCATCTTTATCTTCGTCTAATTTCACGGAGAATACGTAGTCGTACTCTTTCCCTTGGTGTAGCTGTTTACCAGATGACACTTGCGTTCCACCGGAACCGCCAAGAACTTGCCCTACTTTCTCCCACTCATTTTTCGCACTTGACCACTGGTAGCAAAACGCCAAATCCACACCTTCTTTGACCATAATAGTTTGACCTTCACGTCTTCCCGGCTGCAAAAGCGCTTCGGGTCCGGGCAACTCTTCGATTTTCAGATCACCTATTGTTGTTTTACTCGGAATCGAAGAAGTCGCAACTTCGTCCGAGAAAGCTTTCAATTCATCTTCATGTGCAACTCGAGTCGGATCATTTGAAAACACTCTTATTGATGAGTCACTACAGCCTACTGCGAAATCTCCATTCGGCAAAACTGACAAGCACCAATTAGATTGTGCCGGCAGCACTAGCGATTGCACAGGATCATTAGCTTTGGGATCGTTGAGGTCCCAAATTTTAACAGACTTGTCCTCGCTGGCGGTAAAAAGAAGTCCGTTGAAATATTTAATTGAATAAATGAAGTTTGTATGTCCATACAACACTTGCAGACAATCTCCAGTGACTATGGACCATTTTCTGACAGTGGCATCGTTGGCACATGATACGAACTCTTGTTTCGAAATCACAGCAAGACCTCGGACACAGTCTGTATGTCCCACGAAAGTCTGCACACATTTTCCAGAGCTCCAAGCTTTGATAGTTTTGTCCGCACTGGCCGAGAGAATAGTTTCGGACTCTTTCGCGAGCTCCACATCCCAAACTGCTGCTTCGTGACCTGTGAATCACACAAAAAAATTTTCCAAATATCTTTGAATTAAGATTGTGAATGAGCGATTTAAAATTCAAACCAGCAAGTTGAACAAAAAAGCAAGTCAAACTCCTGATATATTAGCAGGAGGAAGTCAAGCAATTCGTCAACTTATTCTGCCTTGGTATCCCATATAAATGTATATTTTTCAGATTTGAAGCGCGAGAAAATTTACCATTCATGGTTTGCACACAGTTTCCCTGTAGCCACTGCTTCACAGACGAGTCCCAGCTGCCACTCACAATCATTCCTCTGCTTCCTCCTGACCTCAGTGCGCTGACATTGCCTGTGTGGCCTAACAACTGGTTCACCGGCTGTTTCTGGGAGAGAGAAAACAGTCTAATCGAGGCGTCCTGGCAGCCAGTAGCTACAAGAGTCTCTTCACAGTGTGCATGTGGAGCTATGAGGCAAATTGAGGAGACAAAGTTGCCATGCCCAGCGAATGCGAGTTCTAAACAATAACTCAACATCAGTCAAAAATGTAATCCGCTGAGACCATCATCTAGTGCAACTTATTCAACCTGAGCAAACAATTAAGCCTTTATTCATCTCAGCGACCGGTAAAACTGTTTCCTGTGCAAGTAGCCCAGATTTTTCCGATCATCGTCACTTTTGCAAAAAAAAAGAAAAGCTCAAACAAAGCTAAGCGACCTCGCACGATGGCTCAAACAGGTCAAATTATCCATGGCGAATCTGAACTACAGCAAGCTCTCGTTTGAGGTCAAAATCAAATTTTAACGCAACCATGATACAAGAAAAAACAACCCTAACAAAAACAAAAAAATCAAAAAATTATTCAAAATTCTTTCATTTTTTGCTTTTTATTCTCAGAATTGCGCCAAAAAACTTCAATAACTACTTTTGGAGTAATACTAAAAATTCCATGCTTAAATTAAAGTTTCGAGGCTTATCCTTCTACAATAAGCCTGCTCGCTCGCTTAATACGCTCAAAATTATACTAAAGCTCAGTAATTTCAACCGGTTTTTCGCGACATTGTGACAACTTTTTGAAATCTCTTCAATATCGTTCAAATCAAAACTAAAAGCGCTTCAATGTGATAAATCATTCCACTAACACGATAACTAATTTGGGTAAATTCTCTGGTAAAGACCACGCACAGGAAACGTATTCAAGTATATTACCTATTATTCTATCAAAATCAAATTAGAAAATAAAAAAGATACCCCGTAAACAAAAAAAAATATATCAAAAAATTATGGCACTACGTGCCACTTGTTAAAACAAAAAGACGCAAGATTGTTCTAATGGTACAAAAAAAAATCTGATTTATAATTGTTGTAGTAAAGATCTCTCAAGTGTACACTTTTTCTGCAAGCAAAAATAACTTAAATTTTCCAAGCAAAGCAATTGCTGCAATGGCACTTTTCTCGCTGCAAGGACATTTTTCTCAATTACAAAATTTAATCGGCCTTCTCGTTGCAAGCATACAAATTGCCGGCGTTTGTAATGCGTTCAAAAACTGTTTTCATTAAAAACTTCAAACTAACCAAACATTAGTTCGAACCGAACTAAGGAGACAAAATTTTTTCGTGCCATTTGCACTTTCGTTATAGAAGTATGAAACTTGCATTCAATTAGGCTAATGAGTTTGATATAGGCTTTAAAAACATATCAGGAAAATTCAATTTGTGAAACTTTTTCCTGAAAAACTCTTAGGTAAAAAAATGTCTTCACTTCATTCATAGACAGTTAAAAACAAGTTAATATAAAGAACACCCTAGATAAAACATGGATTTTTAAAAATCGCTATAATCTTTGTTCACACCTGGCATTGCGATATCTTGCATTTAGACAATTTTAGTACGGAGGCGAAGCGGAGCTTTCAATTTCTCAAATTTTTTGGAAGAATTGTTAAGAATTTTCAAACTTTTATTCCAAAAAATGGCGCTTAACAACTGGCTCAGTCTTCTATATTAGGGATAGCCGGTTGCTGTGCACACAATGTTCCGACACAATTCATAAAAAAAATTAGAAACGTTTTTTTTCTTAATTTTCTTCAACTTTTCGAGGGTGGTGTTATTGAAAAACTATACGATGGTGGAAAAAAACGAAAAATTAGGCATGATTGACAATATGTCTTGAAAAAAGAATAACAAACTAAAAACAACATATGTCTTGAATAACAAACAAGAAAAGAATAACCGACAACATATGTCTTGAAAAAAGAATAAGAAACTAAACAAAAAAAAAGAATAACAAACAGACTAAAATATTTTTAAATTTTTTGCAGGATCATTTTAAACTCTTTTAGAAAACTTTTTTGCCAAAAAAACAACGCTAAATGAATTATCCAATTCATAAAAAAACTAGAAACGTTTTTTTAGTTTTCTTCAACTTTTCGAGGGTGGTGTTATTGAAAAAATATACGATCGCGGAAAAAAATAAAAAATTAGGCATGATTGACAAAATATGTTTTGAAAAAAGAATAACAAACAAAACAAAAAAAAGAATAACAAACAAATTAAAATATTTTTAAAATTTTTTGCACGATCATTTTAAATTCTTTTAGAAAACGTTTTTTTGCCAAAAAAAAAACGCAAAATGAATTATCCAAAGGTAGTTTTCTTTATAGAAAACCTGCTTTGGATAATTAGGATAACTTCGAGGGTGGTGTTATTGAAAAACTATACGATCGCGGAAAAAAAAATTAAAAAATTAGGCATGATTGACAACATATGTCTTGAAAAAAGAATAACAAACTAAACAAAAAAAAAAGAAAACAAACAAATTAGAAAATTTTAAAAATTTTTTGCACGATCATTTTAAATTCTTTTAGAAAACAATTTTTGCCAAAAAAAACGCTAAATGAATTATCCAAAGCTAGTTTTCTTTATAGAAAACCTGCTTTGGATAATTAGGATAACTTCGAGGGTGGTGTTATTGAAAAACTATACGATCGCGGAAAAAAAAATAAAAAATTAGGCATGATTGACAACATATGTCTTGAAAAAAGAATAACAAACAAAACAAAAAAAGAATAACAAACAAATTAAAATATTTTAAAAATTTTTTGCACGATCATTTTAAATTCTTTTAGAAAACAATTTTTGCCAAAAAAAAACGCTAAATGAATTATCCAAAGCTAGTTTTCTTTATAGAAAACCTGCTTTGGATAATTAGGATAACTTCGAGGGTGGTGTTATTGAAAACTATACGATCGCGGAAAAAAATAAAAAATTAGGCATGATTGACAATATATGTCTTGAATAAAGAATAACAAACTAAACAAAAAAAAAGAATAACAAACAAATTAAAATTTTTAAAAAATTTTTTGTACGATCATTTTAAATTCTTTTAGAAAACAATTTTTGCCAAAAAAAAAACGCTAAATGAATTATTCAAAGTTAGTTTTCTTTATAGAAAACCTGCTTTGGATAATTAGAATAATTTCGAGGGTGGTGTTATTGAAAAACTATACGATCGCGGAAAAAAAAATTAGGCATGATTGACAACATATGTTTTGAAAAAAGAATAACAAACTAAACAAAAAAAAATAACAAACAAATTAAAACATTTTTAAAATTTTTTGCACGATCATTTTAAATTCTTTTAGAAAACCTTTTTTGCCAAACAAAACGCTAAATGAATTATCCACAGCTAGTTTTCTTTATAGAAAACTTGCTTTGGATAATTAGGATAATTTCGAGGGTGGTGTTATAGAAAAACTATACGATCGCGGTAAAAAAAATTAAAAATTAGGCATGATTGACAACATATGTTTTGAAAAAAGAATAACAAACTAAACAAAAAAAAGAATAAAAAACAAATTAAAATATTTTTTTAAAATTTTTTGCACGATCATTTTAAATTCTTTTAGAAAACCTTTTTTGCCAAAAAAAAACGCTAAATGAATTATCCAAAGCTAGTTTTCTTTATAGAAAAATGAAGTTTTATATCCTTAGTCTAAATATAAAAAAAATAAAATTTCTTTATAACGAAAATGATAAATCACTCCACCTATCACAATACTTATTTTTGTATATTAACTTGGTTGAAAAATAAATTAAGCCTGCTCGCTCAGCTTATTCGCTCGATATTAGACCGAAAATCAAAAACTTCAAAAAAGTTTTTTCTCGACACTGAAAATTTGCTCATATTCTTAATGTCATTTAAATTACGACTGAAAGGGCTTCGATATGATAAAACACTCGACCTATTCCAATGACCGGAACAATAACAATTTTCAATAGCCGGAACAAAAACTAAAAGATCGGCAAGTCATATCTTAAGAATTCATGCATTCCAGCTACGTAGTTTGAAAAATTGATGTTCAAACGCATTTATAAAATGGGTTTTTCAAATCATGATACGCATTTATCAAATCATGAAACACTGCTAACTACATGATTAAACAGAGAGCCTTTTTTGAAATTCAAACCATAGAGAACTAACTTCCTCTAAAATGTCGATAAGTTCAACTTTCGATATCAATTACGAAGTTAAAAATAACTCAAAAACTACTACTGTTTAGTATAAAAAACTTATTTTCTAATTATTTTGGCAAATTGGTCATCGACAAACAATTTTACCTTCATGAAAAAATGAGAAATATGCAAAACATAGCAAAAACTCAATTGAAAAACAAGCGAAAAACAAATTTTCAGTTTACTCGTGGAATTAATTAAGAAAACCAACTTCTTTGGCTCAGCTCATTGTTTGTTTCTCCAAACTGCTACTGTGCAGTCTCTTTCATTTCCTGGCCTTACGCGGCGAGTCTTAATCATCAGAAATTGCAGCGCAAACAGAATGCAGATAAAACAATAAAACTCCCAGGCATATTGACATGTGCCAAAACCAACTTCATTAAAACGCTAGGAAAGTAATATTGAAGTTCAAAGAGGCAAACGGTCCCATCATAAGGCTCTCTGAACTTTGCCAATGTCAAAAAAACCGATTAAAATAACACGAAAACTAAATAAGCTCCAGAAGCTGTTGGTCAAAGCTACTATTTTATGACATATGATACATTGTTTCAATTATTTAAAACGAAGCATTGAGAAACTCGGTTTCCTATTAAATTTAAATCATCTCATTTTTATAGAAAATTTACACATTTTTTTGATTTCAAAAAAATTTTAACGCAAATGTCTTCTATTATTAATTTAAATTTTACATCTTTTTATTTTCCATCACAGCCATACAAAACTACTTTAAAATGCAATTGGAACAATATAATTATTCTTAGATGTTTCAATGTGTTATGTATTTTAAGCTGCTTCTTATGACAATCTCCTCTCATTAACTAAAAAAATCTACTGCAAAAACAGACTTTTTTTTATATCATAAAATTTTGCCTGGTCGGAACATTCTGTGCAACTTGCAAAGCAACTGGCTATCCTGGTTAAAATTTCTAATTATTTGCCTTTTAACTGTCGCAATTAAAAACTGGAAGCCACATTTTCTTCCCGTTTTTGGAATTAGTTAAACTTCAATCATTTGATCATACTGCGGCAGTAAAATTTGATAAAATGGAACACATATTTGATTTTCCTAGAGGCTTTCCATAAAAAGGTCATATAGCTTCAAACTTGTCCATTCATTGTGATTTTATACACCAAGAAAACCTTCAAATTGCCAGAACTTAATTGCTCTGCGGATTTAGGGAGGTTTAAAAAGGGGTCACTAATAGAAGCATTCTCTATTTATCAGCTTTTAGTTGAAGTAACAGCTTACAAATATTCGAGCAATAAATGCTGTTATGGATTCATAAAAAAGGGTCGCTCTGGTTTAGAAAATAACTATCATGAGGACATTGCTCTTGGGTATCGAAATGTAGTCCAGCTTTTATCTCTGCCATACCAGACATTTATTAGTTCCATAGCAGACATTTATTTTTAGTAATAAAATTTCAGAACTAATTTGATTATATTAGAGAAAACTACAGTAAACTAGTTTTCAATCTAGTGATCCCAAATTCCAGTTTATTGTTAAGTTTTACCTGATACCAAACTTTAAGCACCTAACAAAATTCAAAACGTATATTTAATATTTTTCGTCAACAACGATGAATTTGGACAGACATTTTGTCAAAATTTGTCTCAGCAAGGCCTATACAAGAGCTCTTTTGATGAATTAAAGCGACCTCTTTGAAGCGTCTTGAGTCAAAGGCTGTTTTATAGCTGACTCGTTTTCGCTATCGCAAATCAACCATACCAATTAATACCAATCCGAAATTATCTAGCAACAAAGATCGATTTAAGTCAAAGTATCTGTTTTTGTTTTAACAAATCTACTAGTGATATCTTGTATTTGAAATAGAACCAATCCTTATCGACATTTTAGAGGAAGTTAGTTCTCTATGGTTTGAATTTCAAAAAAGGCTCTCTGTTTAATCACGTAGTTAGCAGTGTTTCATGATTCGCTTCTGATACCATTTTTGGCTACAATTAGGAACTAAATTAATCAATTGCCTCAAAAATTACTAAGATTAATCCTTTCCTTGCTTTGGTATGTAGACTAAGCATACATGCTCAACTAGTAAAATTAAATAACCTTTTTTGGTTAAAGAGAGGCAATTAATGTTTTGATACCAAATGAGCTCTATCCTCTCTTAATCGATAAATTAACAACCAATCAATGTAGCATCAATTTATGGCAGCTTTTACTATGAAAGTTGCCAAAAATTTCATTTGTGATTCCATTGCTTAATTTAAACAATAGGCCTTTAAATATTCAAAAACACTTACAATAATATCATTTTAAGCTACAAAGTTTTTGAATCAAGCGTATACGTTTCGAGCATTAGAGACCAGAAACTGGTAAAATTTGGCCTCAAATTTGAGCCTTTTTAATCCTTCACTCACGAGCTGTAATCGCAGCTAGCCCTCTCATACCACGGGGGGCTTAAAAGGCGTCCTTCTCGGCCACGGCTGTGAAATCTCAGCCAACTACCTAATAAAACTAATACATAGCAAAAACAACCTACCATTGATTCTTAACCTTTAATTGTTAAACTCAACTTGGTATGTGTGAAAGTTGGGTGGATTATTAGTGATGAGTAATTACACTTGTGCACACTAAGGGGAGCATTTCAACGTCTACACAGCAGTCGCCTGGACGGAAACAACGCAGTGCTAATCCCAGCGGGTGAAACCACGCATTTCTCATGTTTACACTCTTGTCATATTGTTCAACTTATTTGCTCACTTTATTACAATTTTATTTTTCACTATTTGACAATTAAATTACAAGTATCGATTCACAATTGACACTTGCCTATTAAGAGTACATTAATTATTCTTAACAACACAAATAAAAGTCCATTATTTATATGAACTCGGCGAGTCGTCTCAACTTGTCGTCCTCTTAAAAAAATTCTCAATTTCGATCGACCGCACAAAAAAAATTACTCCTAAATTCCGATTTCAAGAAGCAAACAGCTTCGGAACATTCCGTAAACTGAGAGTTGATTCTTCCGTTTCAGCAAGTGATTGCACAATGACGGAATCCTTATTTCTTTCTCAATTTCGAGGAAAAACAAAGCCTCGAGCCTGTTTATTCCTCTTAAAGTGCACCTTGAAATTCTGCCTCTTTCTGTCCCTGGTTCGAATGGGAGAGGGGGTCGGTGGCGATGATTCGGACTTGGATACCAAAAGTTGCTTCGATTTCGACATGCCCATCGGCTGTTACTGTGAGAGTCTTCAGTCATACACAGTCAAGTAAGTAAAGTACCTGTTGCTTATTGGCAACTAGAGACAGGTACCACTTCAATGGTGATTTTTAGTAAGTCATACGAGAAAAAAAACAATCAATTTTATTCAAAGTCAAATTCTCACTAAAAATATAACTTTGGACGACAATCGCAGAAATAAAACCGAAAAAAGACACTATCAAAATCACAAAAAAATTAAATATGAATCTAAGTTTTAGAAGTTTACTTCTTAATTGAAATATTGATCAACAACTTCTAAGAAGGTTTAACTGATCTTTAATATACTATATACATATAATGTATCAAACCGCAGCTGAGCTTGATTCTTTTTCAGATGCACAGTCTACCCGAAATCCCTACCCAGCATCGTCAAGAGACTCATAATTCAGAAGCTCCTCCAGATCCCAAACGAGCCCGGAACCTACGACTCGGAGTCTCGTCTCGTCGCCATAACTTGCAGAGACTGCTCTTTCGCCAGCATACCCTCTAACGCATTCGTCCAATTTCCAAACTTACGCGAAATAGACTTTTCGAGCGGGCAAATATTCCACGTATCGCCTGACGCTTTCAATGGACTGGATAACCTCAAAGATCTCGACCTAAGTTTCAACCGTTTGACTGATCTCCACAGCGATGCATTGATTTCCGTCAAAACTACGTTGGAGAGCTTGAAAATCAACAATAACAAGATCGACAAAATACCGCTCAACGATGTGCAAAACCTGAACCAAATTAATCATCTAAGCCAGCTTGAGTATCACAGCAACCCAATTTTCTGCTCCTGTCAATTGTTCTACATACACCAATTGATAAAACTTAAACAAATTTCCTCCGATTTCAACATCGAATCATGTTATCTGAATCCCAGCTTTCTAACTTTCAGTGAAGAACAAGAGTTTCTCGAATCGAATTGTCCATCACATTTCGAGCCAATAATAACCAACATAACAGAAATCGACTGCTCAACTGTCGCTGTGAGCTTCAAGTACGAACCCTTTGTCCACAACTTTTCCAGCCGGATAACTTACACAGTGGAAATTGAGACCGAACATCAGAGAGCTGAGAGGCACGAGGTAGCCGGACCACACTTCATATTACCAAATCTAGCCGCTAGAACAACGTACCAACTCAGCATCACTGCAGCTCAGGAGGGAAGTAGCGTCGACCGCAGCAAATACCGAAGGTTCCGTATCACTCAATTTGTACACACAGGTAGTGGAAAAATCGAGGAATGTGCTCCATTTCCAAGCACTTTGGGTCTTCAAGACCAGAAACAGTCGAATTTCATATACCACACTGGAATCATAAGTGCAGTGGCCATATCTTCCACCGTATTCATAGCAATGATCGCGGCAATTTTTGTTTATTTCTGCCGATCTTCGCGCAGTGTTCTTAACCCAGCTTCGCTATTCAAGCCCAGGGCTTGCTTCAATGAGTTCAACATCGCAGCCAATCAACAACCGGCACTAACATTCATGGCAAATCACGATTCGGTTTTGCATACTGGGAACGACAAATTCTGCAGCAGCGACGCACTTAGGCGACACATAATATCGAACCCTTGCATCAAAATTGTTCGACATGAGAACCTCGCATTCAACCGGGTGCTGAAAAGCGGAAAATTTGGAACAATGTATTGTGCCGAGGCATTTATGATCAAGGCCGAAGAGTACCACAGCAATGTAACAGTGATCGAATTCTCACAGCGAACGCTATGTGAGCGAACTGGATCTAAATTGATCAATTTTTGTCGCTTGAGTCATCCCAACATTCTGAGTGTCCTTGGAATCCAAGAAACAATGGGTCCCATTGCTTTGATCTTGGAGTACATTCCAGAATACATGGATCTAAGAATGTTCCTCAAACGCATGCAATTAAGGAGTCGCGTACCGGCTCACGAAGACCCTGTACAAGTTTTGTCGCTAGCAGTTGCTCAAGTAATCAGCGGTGTTTCGTATCTGTCACAGAACGGATTCATACACGGAGATATCAGTGCTCGATCATGTGTAGTGACTGGTAATTTCTGCATTAAAATCACATTCACAGGTGCGCAGGTTGACTTTTACCCCGAGGACTACTTGAGAACTGGATCCCGATGTCTTCCGCTACGTTGGATGGCATGGGAAGCCATTCAATTTGGATCCTACTCTTTGCAAAGCGATATTTGGAGTTTCGGGGTCCTAATTTACGAGATATTCACTTACGGAGACCGACCGTTCCGAGAAATGACAGATATGGAAGTCGCCTCACACGTGACTGAGAAAAGAGGATCGCTCAGCTCTTTCCCAAAACCCTTCATTTGCCCAGACGAGATCTGGAAAATAGCCGAAGACTGCTGGCGTCACGGACCAAACGAGCGAATCACAGCATGTGGAATCGAGAATCGACTTCTGCAGGAAGTTTGGAACATATACATTACAGAGAATGAAGACATGACACAATCTGAGTTCGAACAAACTTTCAAATCCGAGATGGTTCGGCGAATGAGCGAGAGCCGAGTTAACTTGAGTCAGACTGGATATTATTCACTTTCGGACGAGGAAGAAACGACAGCGGGAAGTACTCTAAATCAATGTAGTGGGTTTGAAAATACCACCACCCACGCTGAAGTGATTTTGCCTTCTGTGATCAACAACAATCTCTCTCAGCAAAACAATAAACTGTACTATCTTGAAGCTTCTGCTTAACAATTAACTAACAAGATGAGTCAAACCAATTTTTTATTCAGTTAGAAGTGATTGAACATCAAATGTTCATTTCGTACTAGCCATTTCTAAATTTCACTTCATTTTGTACTTCTTTAAACTTATTTAACTTCCATGCTCATTAATTTACAATAAATGCTTATCTTCATTCTTTTTTTATTCACTAGAAGCAGGTAAGGTGTAACAAGTACCAAGAGTATGCAGAAATTAAGAAAATTCAGCGAGTAAAATTATTAAAAATCGATTTAAAAAAGTCTATAATCCGATTTGCAAACAAAACAGCCATCAAAAACAAACAGTAGTATCAAAAAAAGGAATAAAACGGGCAGATTTGCATGTACTCAAAACAGAAAACGGTTAAACATAATTTACAATCTTATGTAACCTTTTAATGAAAGGTAATGAAAGGCGAGAAGAAGAAACACAATTTTTTGAAAGTTCTTATTTTATTACAACAAAATGGATACAATCCTTTCAAATTAGCCAACAGACGACTGAAAAAGAGCCAATGAACTCAAGTACACGAAAAAAACTGACGTGTTTTTTGAACAAATCTCAACTTTCAAATTTCTGGAACAAATTATGATTAGATAAATTGGATCAATAAGTAAACTTGTTATTTCCCTGGGAAATCTGAAAATTGGGAAAAAGCTATGGCTGTCTATATTCAAGTTTGAACAACGTTCATCGAGTGTTAATAATAAAAACGTATCTTAAGATGAGACTAGCCGACTGCTGTGTAAATGTTTGACCAAAGTTAACGTAACAAGAAATCACCCAAATCGTTATGCAAAAAAAATCACACCAAAAGCGATCACACATGAGTTCACAAGTAAAGAGAATGATATCTTCGAAAAAACGCTTTAAATCTAGAATGAGAATAAAATGACAAAGGTTTTCATTTCGGACAAAAATCCGACAAGTTGTAAAGAGGCGAATGAATTAAGGAGCACTGCAGTTGGAAAGCTGTGGGTGGTTTTCAATTAGTTCAAGACTCAGGTCAGAAAACGCTTGAATTTACACGGGTTCTGATTATTTAAAAAAGCGACATCCCAGGATCATGGTAACATCTCGTCTTGTTGCTAGGTTTTCAGGATGAGGTTCTTGAAAAGTCAGAAAGCGAGTCACCAGTTGTTGATTGCGAATCCGTGTTCGTCTCAGTGTTTGCTAACAAACGCTGGAGACCACATATTCATTTCGAAAACTATACTCTGGCGAATAACATCTGTGAAGCCGAAACGGATTGTTTGAAACTGGCAAATGAGTATTCAGAAGGTTAACGTTTAGCGCAGAGATTCAAATGCGATATAACTAACTGAACACGACTGACCTCTTCATTTCAGGATCAAGAAGATACGGAGGATCTCATTTTCAGCTACCATAATTACACTTTTTATGTGAAAAATCAACCAAAACAATTCATCAGCTGTCTTGGTTCACGTAGCTTGGAGCGCACTTGCTGCCAAGACATTGAACATTTGCTTAATGAAAACCGGGAGAACATCTCTAAGCTTAAATACGTTACCGGGATCAAAAACATTCACACCACAGAAGTACAAAACTTTCTTAATAACAAATCCAAGCTACTTGGTAGAATACCCCCAATTTCATCACCAAATGAAAGCAAACTAGACCGGAAAACTCGATGTACACTGTCACAATTGCGATCCAGATATTCAGTTCACTTCGCCAGCTACCACCACAGGCTTAACAATATACCCGACGTCTACCTAGGACCACACACCACCGACCATCAAGTTGAGTGCCGGGTACACCCAACCTCGCCTACCATCGAGAGCTTATGAGAATCACGAGGAAGCTGCCAAACATCCGCGGCTTATCACATAACCCCACCCACATAACGGGAGTTTTTCTCAATTCTCCCAACTAATTAAAACTGTCTAGTTCAACTGGGCATGGAGTTTCACTCGGTTCTCCGCAGGCCCAAAAAATGGCCCCTAGAACGGGTTTCATGGCCAAATCAGAACCTGCCTCTTGAGTGTGCTATACAGAGGGAAGGTGCCGAGACCAGCACAAAAACGCTTTCACTGGAAAAGGTGGTTCCCCTTCTACTCCGGTTTGTCCACTAGAGACCCTGGGGGAACTGCAGTGATAGATTGAACGAGACAAAACCGACATGACCAGACACGATCGCAATCGATATTTCCCTAACTATCTTTTCGATCCCTCAAACATAAACGATCTCTCTAATTCAATGAGAGGCTCAAAGCAGAGATCGATGTGGCTACAACAACAAAAACCAAATAACGCTACAACTGGCTGTAAACTGTCACTGGATTGCATAAAATGTTGAACATCCGTTCTGAAAACGCGTTAACTAGAGGATATCACAACGATAGGAGTTAATTTAATTTATGAATAGCTAGCTGATACTTGTTAGCTTCTAACTCATTCACGAAGAAATCTGCACTTCCGGACTGTATTCTTGAAACCATCAAAAAAGCTATGGCCATTGTCAGTAAGATGCCAATCAACCCTTAAATGAGAGATTTGACGCCTCAATCATATTCAAATTGCTATGATTTATGTCAATGTGTTTTTACATGTATTCTAATATTGGGTCTTGTTTTAACAACTTTCCTGCTTAGCTTTAGTACATGTGTATTTCAGATGTTCATTGTGTCTTCATACATTATTTGTGATATACTAAGTTTCAACAATATATCTTTTTTTATTTTGAGCTCAGAATCAGACTGGATAAATTTCAGACATAAAATAGCTTGATTTAAGTCGAAGGCAAAATTTGTCTAGAATCCCAACACACCGCACAAATATTCAATCTTTCTTCAGAATTCGGAGCAATAAATGCGCCGCGCGAGTTTAAAAGTCTTGACAAGTTACAAGACCAGCTACCTCGCGCTTCTTAGCTCCCAGGGCTGAGAAGTACGGGACTTAACTTAAATCCCAGCTCAAAAATGAAACTTGTACGGCCCGAACTTGTACGGCCCGAAAGAGATGTACGGCCCGGCGCGACACATTAGAGTTATTCACTACTATCAAGTTATAATTTTCATGTTTGTTGCAATTAGTCACGAATAAAAGTTGTTTGAGAAAAACATGTCTACAAAGGACAATTGAATGTTAAATAAGCATGGCAACAAAGAATTGCGAAGTGGTCCTTAACCCGACAATGCTTGAGCCGACACCCAATGAGTAGATTAAAAGTATGTCCCTCCCTCGAAACACATACAGATACACTTTTGAGAATTATTATCTCATACGACTCATTATTAGGGTACAAAGCCGATAAAAAATGAGCCAAAGCTACTAATCATAAAAAATGAAAAATGAGATATTCTAAATAATTGAGTTGTTAAAACTACAACCAACACAAAAAACGAATTTCGAATAGAAGAGGCGTTTAAAAAGCAGACAGTCAAAAAATGTCTGTAGGTCAGAGAAGTACAGATTTGGAGAAGACCACCAATTTAAGTCATCTTGTACACTAAGTGATTTACAGGTGGAAAAGTCTAGAACCCGTTGTTGCAATACTTTCGCTTATTGCAAGGGTAATAATAATCCTGAACTATTTTACAACATACTCCACACTTTGTTATTCCGAATTTTAAAGAGACGAAATATTACTGCTCGAGGTGGTTTTTCTCTTGCAAAACTTCGAACTTTTAAATAACCAATTTTGACAGACTATTCATATCATCTGATAGCTATTGAAGTCTTGAGACAATGTAAGATGATGCTAGCGTTTAACGCTCTTTCGGTGCTTGAAACAAATAATTTAACGTTAAAATTGATTTTTTATAAAAATATATGACAAGCGAAATGAACGCAACGGACATAATGGACGCAATCCAAATAAATAAGAATGCGCAATCCAAATAAATAAAAATGCGCAATCCAAATAAATAAGAATGCGCAATCCAAATAATTAAGAATATTAAAACGATTTTATTTGCAAAATCAAAAAATTCAATTATTAGATTCTTGTTTAACTTAGTTCTTTAATTTCTTTGGCCCGTTGGCATAGCATTTACTGTCATCGACCGTTTAATCTAGCGTAATTAAAAAGAAAATATCACTTTCTTAGTTTTAAAAAGTATGAAATATCAAAATAAAAACTCAAAACTTGAAAAGTTCGAGCAAAATTAGGATGGAGGTTACACGTGCAACTGCTGCTAGTAACTTGACAGCACCCCACCAGAATTTTATCGTGGAGAATTTTATCTTGGAAACTGAGATAATTCGAGCAGTCAAACTTGGAACAAAGATCTGCAAACTCTGAGAGTACCTTGGGAGCACTCTACTATTGAGTTTGTAATTTCGAAAGTAGTCCATTCTTTTTGGGAGAACCCCACTAAAGAGTTAGGAACGAGCTATAAGACGTCAATGGTGAAGTTTCATTTTCAATGTTTTGGAATGTGCGTAAAGAAGCGGTAACAACTACAATTCATTGTAACAAACAGTTTACACGAAAAAAATCTAGCATCTGATTTGATCACACTTGCTTATCTCAAGTATTGTAACACGCAGTTGAAAATTAATTTTGCATCAAAAAAGATAACGGACATTAAGAAAAAACAGAAAATCACAACTTTTGCATGTAAAATGATTTCTTAAGACAGCCGTGTTCAGTTCAAGTCCCTCCCTCGAAAAAAAAAGCTGAGCATAGCTGAATACAATTTTGTTGTGTGACGTCGCTGAATTGTGTATTATGCGTTGTAATTAAAAGTTTTACTGAAAAAAAAGTACCTTAAATCGTCTGACTGGGGTAACCTGGGTAAAGCAACTAAAAAAGTTTCCAATCCTCCGTGTAATTTAGCCAGCCCAGTACTTCGACAGACAACTGTTCTGAAATCATTTTTGGAATCCGAATCAAGATATTTAGGACTTGAACATCATACCCCTCCAAGTTTTAAGGGGATAGTAAGAAAAGCAATCAAGCTTGTAGAAACAAAAATTATATCTCAACTGAGAGATATTAGATTTGAACACCCAAAAAATCCAAATATCTTCAAGTGCAATGAAATTTGGAATTAAACGGGTGATCTTTTTTAAAAGTTTTATTTAGCCTGTTCAAAGCCGATATAAAATTTGGGAGAAAAATAAGATTTAAAAAAGATTTATACTTCGATTTGATAACGCTTGTTAGTCGCGAAAAAAATACACAGAGGCAAAGCTGCAACTTCACAGTTACAAATGAGAACACGGCAGAGCGAGATTTATAAAGGAAAAACAACACTAATTAGTCGCTTGCTATATGAACGTTATTTTTGCTTAACTTATGGGAATTTATAAAACCAAACTGTGTGTTAACTTTGCATTTCAAATTATAAGCATTAAAAACTACTAACAGGTGGATGAGCTATATGTTTTTGCTTGAGTTATATAATGCGAAACAGTCAAAAGCCTATAGAACGACAAATGAAAGCTTATAGAGCAAAAATTTCTCGACAAAATTGCAAATTTGACACGAATCTGTACTTTAAATCTTTGTGATCAGCTTTTAGCCAATTAAGTATCCCAAATTCCAATGAAAAGGACAATAAACAATTCAGTGGGAACTAAATTGACGACCATTTTGAGAAATGAGAAAAAAAGCTTCCAACTACATCGAAACAAGCTTAAAAAACTCACTGCAGCATTTGCGTCAACGGAAAAGATAAAACTTCCATTTCAATGTACATAATCACCACCGACAATAGTTACAGTCGATAAAGAAAGCAGTCAGTTGTTTAAGAGCTGGACTAGACTGGGATCAGGGTTGGCGCAAGTTCATTTCAGTTTCGTAAGTTTAATTTTCGTTGAATTGTAACTTTTGTTTCCTACAGCTATTAGAAGACACGTGTCATGTTTCGCTTTAAATATTTTTGCCATAAGCGTAGAAGTTGCTACCATTTATCTTAAGTTAAATAGAAAGTCCGAGCACAGACATTCAAAAACTTGCATGAGGATAAAAAAACTGAGATCTCAATAACAAATCGCAGATTATCATAAAAATTAAGAAATAAAAAAAGAAAAATTTGAAAAATAATCATTCTCTATTAGATTTTTCTGCAACGGACGCCGACGGGTTGTTTTATTGAGTGTTTTTATTGTGTGTCGAGTCGACCCCTAATATGCATACAAAATGCCTTTCGTCTATCCCCTCCGTATCATAAAATATCGTGATCCAACTTATGTGTGTGTTTTTTATATTGCCGGTAATTTTTTGCCGGATTCAAGTTGCATTTGATGTGTATCTATTCTAGTTTTACTTTATGCTTTGCTTTCATGAATAATATATTTAATTTATAAACTTTATAATTATTTTACTCGAATTTGTCAATTAATTAAACTTTCCGTCTTTTCGTCTCAGAGTCACGTATTTATCCCGTTGATTTTGTAGTAGCAAAAAATTATGGTTTTTACTATTCAGGGTGTTGCCCTCTTTTCTTTGTTCCCTTTCCTCTGCGTGATCTGCGCGGTCGATATTAAGTACAGAGATCCAAATAAAATCCGAACAGAGATCCAAATAACTTCACCGCTGAAATGTAATCGCATCCCCCTCGGAAAAAATACACTGGGTCTGTGGATTCACAGCGTTTCAAGTTCTCCCTTCCCGTCTCTAATGGTCTCGGTATCCGATTTGCTTTTTTCCTTCATATGAAAATGTTTGGTTAGTTATATTGACATGAAGTCCCTATCTCGCAAATTTCTCTCGAACACGAAGTTTTTCCAAGTTCAGTTGAAAGAAGTCAGCACATATACCAAATGCACTCTTTATTTAAATTTAAAAAACATGTATTAGCTTTGAAATCGAACATCAGTACATACCCTCTTTAAATCCTTTGGGGGGTGTAAAAACCCATTTTCGAGCAATGAAGTCACGAGATCCTGACACTAGCAATGGAACTATTCCTGTCTTTCTTTCAGTTTGTTTGCTCGAAGAAGGTTCGCTGTTGGAAATACTTTCCAGAGTTGCTGAGTCTAAGCACCTCACATCTTTTGAATGACCAACCAACGAGCAGCTTAATTTGTAGGGCGAGAACCCAGACATTTTGCAGTCACTCATCTGAAGATGGAAAATACATTTCTAAAATTTTCAAATTTCAAAGCAAACATCGCAATATTTCGAAATCCAGAAATAAATACAGAAGATCCAGCAGTTGAAACTATTTCTCTGATAATGTGATAAAATATAATACGTTGGATCATAGCCAACTGTAATTGGGTCAAATAATAACACAGAGAAAGCAGAGCTTCGCATCACTTGCGATGCAACGCATTAAGAGCAAATTGCAACGAAAAGCCATAAAAAATTGATGTCAGAGAGTTTTGGCTGATTCAGTTTTGAAAATTCGATTTTTTACAACTTAATTGTCTGAACTAATTTTAAACACATAATCAATTTTTGCCCTAAAAACAAGATAAAATAGGATGACCAAGCCGGTAAACTATATAAGTCGAACCTGTTTAAGTCAATGAAAAAATGGAAAACATACTAAATCAGGTAGTAAATTAGTAAAGCTAGTAAATTAATCAGAAGGTCGAAAGTACCATAGTAACCGAGGTTCCAGTCAGGAGTCCCTTCATGACAATATCCAGTCAAAGTCCTGGGAATTTTCTAGATATGGAAGATTAAAGTATAATGTGGAAAGTAAAGAGAGTCAGATGGTTGGGAATCAAGCTGTTGTTGTTGTTGTTGTTGTTGTTGGGGATTCACAGCACTGCTGTTGGGAGTCTTGGTCCCGGCGTCTTCTCTAAAACAATGTCCACTTGTTTCTGCACGTGATACAATCACAGAATAATTGCCACGTGCACGTTGTCATTTCTGAAAATCTCTCGTTTACAAATTTCCACATCGTGTTTAAAATTCTCGTCTTGAGGCCGATTCGTTTATCAAAATGAATATATGGTTCTAATCGATTTACAATCCTACTGGTTCTGAAAACAAATTCGTTTCTCGCTTTTTCCGTTCTCACTTTTCGCATCTCAAAAATTTCTATATTTCTAGCCCGTGTGGTTCGCCTGTTTAACACTATTTCATTTCGTTCATTAGAATCAAGACTGGCAAGAAGTAAGATGTTATTTAGCTGGATGAACATGGGCAGGGGTAAAATGTTTAGCAAGCGTAGTTCGTTGATGTACACTCCCGTTTTATTTCCAGTGATCCACCGGATTGCTTTCTTTTGAAATCGCTCCAGCTGCAATTGATCCCCCCTCGATATATGTGTACATGAGAGTCCGTATAATAACACTGGGAGTATTAGTGACTTATACAGGCCTAACTTTACAAACGTATTTATCTTTGCTGTTAGGTTTCTTCTCAGGAGGTACAGTACTTGGTTTGCCTTCTTTAATCTTGTTTCAATGTGTACCTTCCAACTTAAATCGCCCGACACAAAAATTCCCAGATCTTTCACAACCATCGATGTTCCAAGCACTACACCAAAAAGCATAGAGTTGGCGTCTCCGCCCCTAAAACTTACTTTTGCACATTTATCTAGTGCTAATTCCATTTTGTTTTCAGTTACCCACTGCTGAATTTTGTCCAGATCTTCTTGAATTTCAATTGATGTTTTTTTGATGGAAAGTAGTTTAAGATCATCCGCAAAAATATATGGTTCAGAGAATTTGAGTACTTCAGGTAGGTCGTTAATAAAAATGCAAAAGAGCAGTGGTCCTAAAAGTGATCCTTGGGGAACACCACTAGTGACTTCTAAAACTTTTGAGCTGATATTGTCTACTCGTACAAACTGTTTCCTGTTTTTCAAATAGTCATAGAGTACCTCTAACATGCAGCCTCCTATTCCTATAAGTGCAACTTTCTTGAGTAGATCAAAATGCGGAACTTTATCAAAGGCTTTTGCAAAGTCAGTGTAGACTGCTACAATTTCTGCGTTTGAGTCATTGTCAAGCGCTTCATATATTTCTTTCAGGAAGGAGAGCATGTTTGTCAAAACTGATCTACCTTTAGTAAAACCGTGTTGATGTTTCGTCAAATACCAGGCAAAGTAAGGGTACAGGTCTTTGTATATACATTTTTCAAGGACTTTGCTGTCAATATTTAATAGCGATACTGGTCGATAGTTGTTCACCAATTTTCGGTCACCTTTTTTGTGAACAGGAGTAACTGCAGCTGTTTTCCATGAATCAGGTATTTTTCGTAGGCGTTTTACGTTTCTCAAAATTTTGTTCATCGGTTTGCATATATTGCGGTTCGTTTTCTGAAAAAAGCTAGGTGGCAACCCATTTGGGCCGCGTGACTTTGTTACGTCCAGAGTTGATAAAATCTCACTTACTGTCTTTTTCGATATATCAAAATTCGTTAACAAGGGATTTCCAAATTGAATATCTCTAATACTAAAACTTTCTTTAGGATTAAAAACTGAATGAAAGAAGTCGTTTAGCATGTTGACTTGTTCGTTTGGATTTGTGCTTTCAACTTCATCTTTTATGAGTAACTTAGGAAGACTTGTATGTTTATTCAAGTTCTTTAGGTGTTTAAAAATTACATTAGTGTTCCGTGTTCTAAACAATTCCTCTTGGTAGTTTTTCCTGTCCACTTCCGATGATTCAGTTACTAAATTTTCAAACAGTTTAACTTGTTGTCTTCTGTAGTTGGTCGGTTTGAGTATACATGATTGCCGTTTTGTTTGTAACTTTTTGATCAAATTTGAAGTGCTACTTGTTATCCAAGGTGGAAGTGATTGCCTATGTCTTGTTCTGAGAGGCACAAAACTCTTAATGATTTCATCCAAATATTGGGTGTACTCCTCATGCATTTTGTTAATGTTTGTGTGGCATACTGGTTCAAATGGGTTCTCGTTTATAAAATTGTTTATTCCTTCAAAATCGGCATTTCCAAAACTTCTAAAATTTTCCAAGTATGGTTTCGGCTCTGATACCGTGCATTCAATAGACAACATTATGGCATTGTGATCTGAGCAGTCATAAATCTTGGAAACGTTAAAATCTTGTTCGGCACTTGTATAGCAATTCCGATAGAAGGCTACGTCTAGTATGTTCTTCACACATGTTGGGAAATCTATCGCCTGCCTAAAGAGTCCATTTTCAAAAATTTGCAGTATTTGGTTTTCTTCCTCGTCAGTACTGGTGAGGGTGTTCCAGTTTGTTTCTGGGAAATTTAAATCCCCACATAAGAGAAACGGTTTGTTTTTAGGAATGGCTTTGATCAGTTGTTCAAATTCATGCACTTTGTATCTGTAATTACTGTTTTTTGGCGGATTGTAGAATGAGCCAATTATCATTTCAGTTTGATGAAGTTTTATACTACATAGCACACATGAATCAGGAATGTCATGTTTGGTGGATAAGTCCTCGGTAATTAGACTATTCTTGACAGCTATTAGGCTGCCTCCGTGACAGTTTTTACCACTCACAATAGCTCTATCAGATCTATAGATGTTATATTCACTTAGAAAAAGCTCTGATGATTGAATATTCTCGTTAAGCCAAGTTTCGCTTAAGCATATGACATTAAAATTTCCAACTGCAATTGCATTTGCTAGCTTAGTTCTTCTCTCTATGTTGATTAGGCTTCTAGTATTTAGTTGCAGAATGTTGAGGAATCCTAGTCAATGCTGGGGTTCCTGAACTTCAGTGTCAATAGTTACTTTCACACCATCATTGAACAATTCTAGATTCCTTATTTTCAGCTTTTCGCGAGGAACGCCTTCATCTAGTAGTTGTCTTCGTTTCTTAAGGATTTCGTTCTCTTTAATTGCACTCTCTTTGGTCAATGCTGGTAGCAGGTAGACCTCTTTTTCGACCAATTGTTCTCGCTTTTCTCGGCTTTTTGCTAGTACTAGTCGTGCTTCATGTTCGCTAGGTACAGTTACCAGCAGTGTTCTTGGCTTCATTCGATTACGATCAAATTTTCCCAGTCGTTTTAGTTCTATTATTTTCGGCTTCACTCCAATTATGTCTAGTATTTCGTTTACTTCGTCATTTGTTGGGACAAGGTTTTCTCCTTTTGTTTTCTCAGGGTCCTCTTTGACCCCTTGTATCCTAAAACTTTGATTTATGTTGTGATCAGAGTTAGATCTGGCAGCATGTTGAGTGGTTTGAGCTTGATTTATCCGGGTGGTGGTTTCAGCAGCTACAACGGCACTATAAGTTTTTTCCACTTTATCGCATGTCGTTTTCATTGCATTTCCAATTTTTTGATCTACTAAATCGGTAAGTCTTCTTTCCATGCTTTTAAGGCTTTCAGTTACATCAATGTTTGAGAGCTTCTCGTCTATGTTGGCCAGGGTTTTGCATCTTATAAAGTTGTCTCGTTCATTATTTTGCACACAAGTATTACAAAGCAACATGACATTCGGCCCTAGTTCTTTTATTCCATTTATGGCCACTAGAGACAACCCAACACAAGTTGGTTCCAAATGCATTTGAGCGTTGCATGCGACACAAGTGTATGTTTTCTCGTTGCTGGCAAAGCCTCTTTTACATGTTTTGCAGTTTTTGCCCATTTTTGCTTATACTATGGATAGAAAAACAGTTAAGCCTGGTGGTTCCCGAAAAGGGGAGGCCTGTGGCTCACTCAGGGGAAAAGAAGAAATAGACAAACCTGGTGGTTCCCGAAAAGGGGAGGCCTGCGGTTCACTATTTCTACTTACGTTAACAGGGGCACTGACAGTTCTTGAAACGACACTCGTAATATACCAGATGTCCTTCTGTATTGCAGATGTTCGAATGTTTATCGTATAAGATTTTATTCTTGAGAATACTTTTAATGCCCTTCAGACCTTCTTCACTGAGGTGCACTTCGTCAGTTTTCAAATGATATGAGCTGTGGATTTTTTCACTCACTCCTCTAAACTTCCAAGTTCCTTTTATCTTTCTTAGGAATTCGTTTATTTTTGCAGATCGAGCTCGGTTCTCACTACGATGAGGGATTCCGATGACGAAAACTTTTTTGGCTCGTTCACACAGCTCCTCGGCTAGCTTCGACAGTTCTTCAGCAATGTCGCCTGCAGGTATACTGGAGGGGTCTTTTCCGTTGAAGGCGTCGTTTCCGCCGATGAGCAGAGCGATGATGTTGAATTTGT